TCTGTTAAGATCTTTTATGAAAATAACTTGAGAAGATCTTGGATTGCAGTGTTGTACAACCCCACAAGAGCTAGTTATGCAAAATATCTTTTCTTCACTTAAGAAAGTGGAGATTGTGCACAAGGAATCCCTATACGAAGAAAAATGCTAATTTAAGTCTGAGGAAAATCATTACCGTAAAATGACATAACCCCTCTAGGGAAGACTTACATAGGTTATGAAAAGGTAAGAATTTTGGCAAGAGGTCAAGGATCACCACACAAGGTAATCAGCCACTTCTCAGTAAGGGTAGGGTGACCCAAAGAAGTAAACAATTATCACTCATTCGATAGCTGTCTTCACACTTGAAATGACCTTTAGAACTGCAAAATCCCCATACATTCCTCTAGAGTGCAAGCACAGTACTTCTCACTTACAAATTCAAATCCAGCCAATATATGGACAAGATAGAAAAAAGTACCAAAACAAGCAACAAAGAGGCTTCTAGAGTTAAAAATAAAAGATACAATGAAAACACTGAAAATGATCTTAGACTAACGGGAGAGGAAAAAAGATGCTAATTTTATTTTACAAACTTCTAAGATACAAGTGCTACAACCACTGGAAATAAAATGATTAAAAGAGTAAACTCTTAAGATCGAATACAAGAACATCTCTGCTACAAGTAAAAAAATACTATTTGGTAATAAATGGCTTGACAGGCTGTCTCAAAATAATGAATATTTAACCTGAAACAATGCACAGGCTGGCTGTGGCCATAAGCCCTGATGCTAGTTCATAAACTACCCAGGATGATCAGCTGCCATGGACCACCAAGGGCATAGTAGGAGTGTTGGTGTGCATGGGTGACCCCAGACTTCTTGCCTCAAAATATCCTTTGCATTTCATACACCTCAAGTATAAGTCTACTCTTGTTTTTTCAGTAATTTTCAATGAAATCAGATAATTTTGAGTATTTGTGACAAATAAGAACAATAGTCAATGCAAACATATGATAAATGTAATAAAGGAGCACTACAATAGTGCTACTTGATCATGCTAAACAAGTTCTAGTCACACCTAACCATTACATGAGGATTTAAAAGTAGATAAGCACTCGAGTAGGCTTGCTTGTTAGGCAGGCGGCCATATTCACATCGAACACTGACTATTTGATACTGGTAAAAGTAGGTCTTAGACAGAGATGTGTAATGTCACCATGGTTGTTTAATATATTTATAGATGGGGTTGTAAAAGAAGTAAATGCTAGGGTGTTCAGGAGAGGGGTGGGATTAAATTATGGGGAATCAAATTCAAAATGGGAATTAACACAGTTACTTTTTGCTGATGATACTGTGTTTATGGGAGATTCTAAAGAAAAATTGCAAAGGTTAGTGGATGAGTTTGGGAATGTGTGTAAAGGTAGAAAGTTGAAAGTGAACATAGAAAAGAGTAAGGTGATGAGGGTGTCAAATGATTTAGATAAAGAAAAATTGGATATCAAATTGGGGAGGAGGAGTATGGAAGAAGTGAATGTTTTCAGATACTTGGGAGTTGACGTGTCGGCGGATGGATTTATGAAGGATGAGGTTAATCATAGAATTGATGAGGGAAAAAAGGTGAGTGGTGCATTGAGGTATATGTGGAGTCAAAAAACGTTATCTATGGAGGCAAAGAAGGGAATGTATGAAAGTATAGTAGTACCAACACTCTTATATGGGTGTGAAGCTTGGGTGGTAAATGCAGCAGCGAGGAGACGGTTGGAGGCAGTGGAGATGTCCTGTTTAAGGCAATGTGTGGTGTAAATATTATGCAGAAAATTCGGAGTGTGGAAATTAGGAGAAGGTGTGGAGTTAATAAAAGTATTAGTCAGAGGGCAGAAGAGGGGTTGTTGAGGTGGTTTGGTCATTTAGAGAGAATGGATCAAAGTAGAATGACATGGAAAGCATTATAAATCTATAGGGGAAGGAAGGCGGGGTAGGGGTCATCCTCGAAAGGGTTGGAGAGAGGGGTAAAGGAGGTTTTGTGGGCAAGGGGCTTGGACTTCCAGCAAGCGTGCGTGAGCGTGTTAGATAGGAGTGAATGGAGACGAATGGTATTTGGGGACCTGACGATCTGTTGGAGTGTGAGCAGGTAATATTTAGTGAAGGGATTCAGGGAAACCGGTTATTTTCATATAGTCGGACTTGAGTCCTGGAAATGGGAAGTACAATGCCTGCACTTTAAAGGAGGGGTTTGGGATATTGGCAGTTTGGAGGGATATGTTGTGTATCTTTATATGTGTATGCTTCTAGACTGTTGTATTCTGAGCACCTCTGCAAAAACAGTGATTATGTGCGAGTGTGGTGAAAGTGTTGAATGATGATGAAAGTATTTTCTTTTTGGGGATTTTCTTTCTTTTTTTTTTGGGTCACCCTGCCTCGGTGGGAAACGGCCGACTTGTTGAAAAAAAAAAAAATATATATATAAAGAACTTGTCAGCACAGTTATCCACATCTTGTACATGTCAGTGGTTGGTTTACTGGAGAGGACAAAGGGGGTGATTGGCTATGAGGAAAAGGACTGGGGACTGGCGGGTAACACTACCTTTTAACTCTCCCCCTCTACTCAACTACCTTCAGAACTTGTCTTCACACCATAACCAACCAAACTATTTGTTTACATTATCCTATGTAATGGGAAGTACAGTGTCTGCACGCTGAAGGAGGGGTGTTAATGTTGCAGTTTTATAACTGTAGTGTAAGCGTGCCTCTGGCAAGATAAGTGATGGAGTGAATGATGGTGAAAATTTTTCTTTTTTGGGCCATCCTGCTTTGGTGGGAGATGGCCAATGTGTTAAAAAAATAAATCCTATGCAATGATTCACATTTCATACAGATAAACAGAACAAAGCCCAAAACAACCAACATATTAAGGATTAATACCCAAAACCAAAATGATAGCCTGTGATTACACAGGTCACAACTTATTAAAACTGTCTCCTTAGAATTGCATATTGTCCTGGGTAGGGGATGTCCCCAGAAAGGTTGGAGGGAGCAGGAAGGAAGGAGGTTTTGTGGGAGAGGGGTTTGGACTTCCAGCAAAAATGCATGAGTGTGTTAGATAGGAGTGAATGGAGACTAATGGTTTTTAGGACCTGACTAGCTGTTAGTGTATAAGCAGGGTAATATTTTGTGAAGGGATTCAGGGAAATCAGTTAACCAGACTCGAGTCCTGGAGGTTGGAAGTACAATGCCTGCACTTTAAAGGAGGGGTCTGGGACATTGGCAATTTGGAGGGACGTTTAAGCTGTTGTATCTGTGTCTCTGCAAAGACAGTGATTATGTATGAGTGATGGTGAAAGTGTTGAATAATAATGATGATGATAGTTTTTTCTTTCTTTGGGTCACCCTACCTTGGTGGGAAATGGCCGAAGTGTTAAAAAAAAAAAAAAAATATATATACTATATACTATTAGCTATTGATTTTTTTTTAACACAATGGCTGTCTCCCAGAGAGGCAAGAAGATTTTCACCTTCACTCATGCCATCGTCTTGCCAGAGGCATGCTGACAATACAGCTCGGATGCCCTTCCACACTGCAATACCCCCATTCCTCCTCCAGAATACAGTCACTGACTTCCCAACTCTAGGACTCGAGTCAAGTCTGGCTAACTGGTTTCCTTGTATCCCTTCATAAATATTACGTTGCTGACACTCCAACAACACATCAAGTCATCAAAACCACTTGACTCCACTCCTATCTAACATGCCTGCACACATCTGTTGGATGCATAGCCTCTCATAATCAAAGCCTCCTTTATTCCCTCCCTCCACTACAGATTTACACACACTCCAGGTCATCCTATTTTGCTCCATCCTCTCTACACGTCGTAACCACCTCAATAACCCCGCTCCTCAACTCACTGGATAATAGTTTTAGCATTATCCAGTGAATTCTCTGCATAATATTCACACCACACATTGCCCTTAGACATGACATCTTCACTGCCTCTTCGCTGCAATGTTTAAAATTCATGTTTCATACTCATAAGTGTTGGTACCACTATACTCTTGATACATTCCCCCCCCCATCCCCCCCTTTTTTTTTTGGCCTCTATGGATCATATTCTTTGTCTCCACAGATGCCTCAATGCACCACCCACTTCATCAATTCCATGGCTCACCTCATTTTTCATGGATCCATCTGCAAACAAGTCCACTCCCAAATATACGAACACATTCACTTCCTCCATACGACCTCCTTTCAATCTTTCCTTACCTAAATTTTTTGTTACATCATCATCTTACTCTTCCCTACGTTCACTTTTAATTTCCGTCTCATACATACCATCCTAAATTCATCTACCAAGCTTAACAACTTTTCAGTCTCCCAAAAGCACAGTACTGGCAATAAAAGCAAATGTGACAACTTCCACTTTGTATTAGATTCTTTATCTTTTAATCCCACAACTCTCCCCTACACACTAGCATTCATTTCTTTCACAACCCCATCTATAAATAGGTTAAATATACATGGTGATATCATGTACCCCTGTCTAAGGTTTATCCTCATAATAGCTCTCCAATGCTCTAAGTAACCTACTGCCTATTCCATAAACTTTCCACATCTGCTACATTGCTCCTCCATCCACCTTATTATATGCATTTTTGAAATCCGTAAATGCATGTTAATTGTACATAGCAAATAAATCACGTGTTTAAATGAATGGAAAAAATATGGATGCAAGGGAAACTTTAGATGCAGAAGCAAAAACTGAATGGTATCTACAACAGCAACTGTAATCAGACATTTTGGATGTACAGTACACAAAAGGGCAACAGCAATATGACAAAAAATACAGTACTGGTATTCCAAGAGAATTTTGCCACTGTTCAAAGAATAATGGCACATTTATATACAACTATGGAGTCGCTGAATATTTCTGCTGCCAGCGTTTAGTGTAAAAACCTTCAGTGACTTATGTTGACATTATCTTACATTTATTGCAGATTTAGTTTTTCATCTTGGAAGTTGCTTAC